CACCAAACAAACAAACAAGCAATCAAATGAAGCAACTATACAAACAAACAAGCAGCAATACAAACAAGCAACCAAACAAACAAACAAACAAGCAACAATACAAACAAGCAGCCAGACAAAACAAACATACAAACAAGCAACCAAGCAACCAAACAAACAACCATACAAACAAACAAGCGACCATACAAACAAGCAGCCAGACAAAACAAACAAACATACAAACAAGCAACCAAACAAACAACCATACAAACAAACAACCATACAAACAAACAAGCTACCATACAAACAAACAACCATACAAACAAACAAGCGACCATACAAACAAGCAACCAAACAAACAACCATACAAACAAACAACCATACAAACAAACAAGCGACCATACAAACATGCAAACAAACAAACAAAACAAACAAACAAACAAAACTCAAACAGTCTTATCAGAGCAGATGGAGGCCATCTGAGTGCCGCACATGATGGCCGTGAACAGACCGAACAATAAACTTTCCATGATGAGGCCAATCGAGATGAGGAGGGTGATAGGGAGAGAGTAGTTGCAACCTGGGTGGTGGTGGTGATGGTGATGACGAAGATGATGGTGGTGATTATGATGGTGGTGATCGTGAAGATATTGGTGGCGGAAGTAATGGTGGCGACGATGATAACCACACGTCATCATCTCGTATCTCCGAACGTTGCGATTTTGTATTCTCTTCTGCAGCAGACTAGCTGGTCTGGTAACCAGTAAAACTCGCTGCGAATATGTGCTGTGATTGAATGGTAGTTTGCTGGCATGCCTTAGGCAGTTTCATAGACATGCCTTAGGCAGTTTCATAGACACGCCTTAGGCAGTTTAAAAATGAATAAATGTACAAAAATTATGTGAATGAGTGAAAGCGAAAGTGATAAGCAATAATATGGTGATGTGCGATAGAGCGATGAATGAATGAATGAATGAATGAATGAATGAATGAATGAATGAATGAATGAATGAATGAATGAATGAATGAATGAACAAATGAATAGATGAATGAATAGATGAATGAAGAACAAACTAAAATAATAAAATTGATAATTACAATTCAACTCAAGAAACATATCGGGTAGTTCTTTACCATCAGGCCTCATGCTCTTTAAAGCTTCAGTTTAATAATTTGAAAAAAAAATAATTTTAACAAACAAACAAACAAACAAACGAACAAACAAACAAACAAACGAACATACAAACAATTATTAAATCTGCAAACAAACGAACGAACGATCAAACATATTTAAATGACTAAATTAAGAACAGATGCCACAATGGCCTAAAAGTAAAGTGCCCTCGCCCTTCAGTGTTTGTTAAAGAGACTGGGTTCAAATGCTAACAGACCACCTGCCAACCTTGTATGACGTTTGGCTTTTGGAAGTACCATTGTATAGCAATTTAAACATTGTCGAAAATTGCTCCCATAAAAAGGCGCTATATAAATGATATAATTTTTAAATAGTTATAAAAATATTATGAAAAAATATTATTAAGAACGTTAAAATTTGTTTAAAGGCTACAATAAAAAGAACCTTCGTAGGCATTGGTAGCACATGTAACTAATGTGGAGATAGCCAAGATGAGACCCAGGATGCATAGGGAACATATGTAAGCCTTTGTGGTGTGGTTTGGTGTGGTTTGGTGTGGTATGGTGTGGTTTGGTGTGGTTTGGTGTGGTATGGTGTGGAAGTTCATTTAATAAACAAACAAACGACTTTACGTCATTATTTTTTAAAATTATTTTCAAAAAGATTATTAACATTTTGTTTACATGTTAACAGTAAAAAACAAACAAAGAACTAACAGTGAAGAGAACAAAGAACTTTTGATTGCACTCTCCGACGCAGTTGTTCACCCACGGACAATGATGGTCCATCTTTTTAATGCATCGTTTGCAAGTGCTACCAAAGATTACAAATCTCAAAATTATTAATTTTATTACTATTGTAATTAATATCAGCAGTAGTAGTAGTAGTAGCAGCAGCAGTAGTAGCAGTAGTAGTAGTAGAACTAGCTTTGTTAACAGTTTATTTTTAAATTCAAATACGTCCATTTTTTCAAAATAACGAATTCTCTTTTAAATTCTTAAAAACAATTTGTTTAAAAGATAAATTTGAAAAATACATTAGAGGAGTTTCAAAACGAAGAATTAGGTGAAAAAAAATTATGGAAATTAAAAAATTCCGTCCCAACCTGCAGTGATGTGCCCTGTCAGGTTTGATGGAATCACACTTGACACACCTCAAAATGGTCTTGCCCTCTGGGAATTCCAACTTGGCGATGTTCTCGGGTGTTGCATTTCCTCTGGGGATAGCACCCTTGGTGATTTTGTTCGAAGCTTTTAAATAATTACATCTATGAAAAATATGTGTGTGTGTGTGTGTTTATGTCTTTGGGTATTTGATTGTGTGTGTTTGTGTCTGTGTATGTTTATGTCTGTGTGGGCGTGTGTGTTTATGTACATGTGGAGACAATTAATATATATGTAACATAAATAGAAAAACTCAAAAAACTATCAAAGGGATACGTGCTTGCAATAAAAAAAAATGTTTTAAATTTAAATAAAAACTATAAAATGGCTGTTGAATTCGTAATTGAATAAAATAAATAAAAAAAGAAATGAATATTTCAAAATATGATTGACAGACTGGATCGGTGAACATGGCCTGGCAGTGACTGAAGAAGGCCAACAGAGCCAGAAGAACAGACAGTCCTGCATAAAAATAGGACAGTGGAGTGATAGTCGAAGCAAAGCAATTCATCAGTACCATTGCCTCCCCGCAAAACAGAAGAGACCACGTAAATCCGGCAGCCACGTAGCCCCCGCAGTCCTTCACGAACCACATTTTGGTACAGTATCTGTGGGGTACGGGTAGGCCTAATTTTCGTAAGTACCGATTTAAATTCCAAGTGACAACTGAAGGATAGTAAGGTGGTTGATTCGTGCTGCCGATGGTGTTGTGATGAGAACAAGATGGTGTGTGTTGATGGTGGGGGTTAAAATTCCCGTGATGATAATGATGTTGTTGGTACGGATTAGTGTTTGATTCAATTTCTGGATTTGTTGTTAACTGATCTTCTGAATAGTGGTGGCCGTCAAAGCTTTCGATTAGTATGGAGGACGAGGAGTTGCTCATGTTACAATAATTGTTGGGGTTGTTTTCTGACTTGTCCGGATTTCGATGGTAAGCTTGTTGCTGATAATTCAGTGCAGCTGAACCATTAAACATTTATAATTTTAATTTAAACATGTATTTAAAAATTATTCACTCATTAATTTTAAATATCTTAATCCGTAATTCTATCTTTAACTAATTACGAATCCGTAATTTAGTAATAATTAAATATTATTAATTATTAATTCGTAATTCCGAATTGGTAACTTTTTTAAAAAAACCGAAATCACGTCAGGAATGATTTTTGAAAATTTCGCTATTTAAATCAGTGTTTAGTAAATAGTTATAAACAAGAGAATGTTCGATTTATTTCAATTTAAAAAATAAATCGAATAAATCATAAATTTAATAAAAAAAATAACATTCTTTTCACCTGTAAAGTTAGTAAGAGCTTTTTAATCGAATTCACTTTTTTGATCTTACCATTGTATGGTAAAGAGCGTTAACAATACCCCAATAAAGGGCCGGAGTTAGAGGTGGGTAGGCCCTGGAGCAAAAAAATAACACCGCACTCTAGTTATTTTGTAATCAGAATAAAAATTGGTTTTTAAAACAGTTGGGGTCCCTTTTCCACATTTGTTTTACAATTTTTTACTTAATATTTCAGAAATACCTTCTTTCTCTCTCGTGCCTTATCCTTTCAAGACAATGGCAACCATAGACCTCTACAAAACCCGATCTTTAACACTTTGTAGTGGTTGAAATGTGGTGATATTCAACAAGTGACGCAAGGACTTTTCAAATGTTCGTTTTTGAAGGCGATTGCTTTTTCCTGCAATCTTTCCAGGGGTAGTTATCGACAAGAAATACGTAGTGCATGTAGATTAGAGGTGATCATGGGAACGGGAATTGCGTTAATTCCATGGTTCCCATGGGATTAGATAATACCTAATTTTCGGGAATGAAAATTGTAGTGAATAGGAAATCACTGTTCATTCTAAGTGCTCATAGAAATTGGTTGCAGAAATTATACGTTGGCTTACTGCAGTGGCTTGCCCATTCTCATACAACTGTGTGATAGCAGTTTTTTGTACATAAAATGCTTTAAATAAATTAATATATTCATGTCATAATTATTTTTATTGATATAAATATAGAAATTGTTTTTTGTGTGGTGAAATACATTGGCTTATTGAAGCCATGGTTTGGCTTACTATGATTGAACTATAGTCACTCTTCAGTCAGTCAGTCAGTCAGTCAGTCAGTCAGTCAGTCAGTCAGTCAGTCTATGTGCATATCATATTTGGTGAAATTTATTTGATAGGAATTGAATCAAACATTCATACCGGCTAATTCACTACCATACAGTTAAATAACTACTGCTAGCATGACGTCATTTTCTCCAACGATTCCATAACAAATTATCTATCCTATTTTAAAAAATTTCTTTGATGTTTTTTGATCAGTCAGGTCACAAGCATCATCATCGATATTGCGATGAAAATTTGTTTACATTGTTGATAAAAGTAACTTATTCCATTTAATGATATCTTCTTGTTCAATAAGATACTGTTTGATATTGTACAATCAATTAACCAGACAACCGACCGCCGAATCAATCAATCAACCGCTGAATCAAATCAACAGACCGAACAATCAATCAATCAACCAACCAACCATTCAATCATTCATATACTGAACTAATCAACCAACCAATCGACTAATCAATTAATCAATCAACTATAATCAATGAAGCCAATTGAATGAACCAAACGAATGAACCAAATGAACGAACGAATTATGAATATACGAAATAAAGTGTAAAAAGAAATTGCAAAGTTTGCTGAAGCGCAAACAAACATTTGATCGTACATACAAACAATTTCGAGATTTTAGTAAAAAAGAAAAACACAACAATTGCTTTTATTTGACATCAATGAAAAATGAAAAATGAAGGAAAATTAAAATTTAAAATGTCAATTTTTTTAAAATTCGGATTTTACACAAACAAATATAGCACTTCTCAGTAGTTTTTGGTGACCATTTAGTAAAAACATTTCACAGCATATCATAATGACTAAATCAACATAACAAACAGTAATTATTTATACACGCATATATGCAAAGTAAATCAAGAAATATCCAAAAATTATATAACCGAAATAAAAAACTAGAAACCAGTCAAGATTTTACAAATAAATAAATAAACATTATTAGAAAGATAGTTCAAAAAAGTAAAATTTAAGGCGACGACGAAATAAAATTTTATTATGTTTTGTTGGTGTGCTAGTGTGAAGCAAAAATAAACAAACACATAACAAATAAATAGTAAAAAGTCGTAAGAATAGTAGTCAGTCACCTACCTACAATTAAATTACTCTCAGGGCCCTAGCTTACTTATAATGATTAGCTCATCTCATCTACCTACAAATTTGTGTTTCTAAATTTTAGAAATTTTACATGTTTCAGGTATTGTATTTTACATATTTTAACGTTTTTAATTTGCCTTTTTTGTATAATTTTATTTTTTTTATTAGAAACTCTTTAAATAATGTTAAGCTCTAGCCTACCTACGATTGTCCAACTCATCTCAATCCCTAACTTACCTACGAATTAAATTAAAGTCCGGTAAAGAAAATAGAAAGTTGAAGAGAAGCATAACAACAACGACAACACCGAAAAATGGATGTTGTATATGTGTGTGTTGTATTGATGTGTGTATGTGTGTTGTATACATGCGCGCGTGTGCACTCTCCCCAGAAACTTCTTCACTACGGATGAACCTCCATTGCACCGACCATCATCTGGCACGCATCGTGAGTTTGACCGGATACTGAAAAATACTAAATCTGAAAAAAAAAATAATATTTTAAAATAAAACCAAGCCATTGGAAAAAAAGCAATAGGCAAATTATGTTATTGAGATAACAATCCACTCCAATCACTCCAAAACATTCCAATCGTTTGTTCAAATTCGAGTACTTTCTATGGTACGACGGCAAAATATTTCTCGGTAATATTTATTATTATTACTGTTGTTGTTGTTACCTTCGAATTGTCCTCGGAACGATCATCAGAGACCACCATCTGAAACGTGCTGACGCCCACCACAGCCCACCTCTCATCATTCTGTAGACAAGTTTTTATTAATTAGCGAAGTAGTAAATCAAGAAACAAAGGAATGAACGAATAAATGATTAACTGGATGATTGAACGATTGGTTGAATGAATAAATTATCTAATTAATTAATCAGCCAATGATTTAATGAATGAATAGAATGAATCAATGAATAAATTAACTGAGGAATAATTTGAAAGATAGTGATAAAATGAATGAATGAATGAGAAAAATAAAAAAAAGAAACTAAACCATACTTCAAAAACCGTCGTTATTGTTATCTTCGAATTGTCATCGGAACGATCATCATGAGACCTCCATCTGAAACGTGCTGATGCCCACCACAGCCCACCTCTCATCATTCTGTAGACATTTTTTTAATAGCGTATTAGTAAATCAAAGAACAAAGGAACGATCGAATAAATGATTAACTGAATGATTAAATAATTGGTTGAATGAATGAGTGAATGAATGAATTAATAAATCAATGATTCAATTAATGAATAGAATGAATTAACGAATCAATTAATAGAAGAATAATTTAAAAGGTTGAGTGATAAAATGAACGAATGAGAAAAATAAAAAACGAAACTAAACCTTACTTCAAAAATCGTCGTTACTGTACTTTCCATTGCACCGACCATCACCATCTGGTCGGCACACAAAATACCATCCGAACTTCAGAGTGTCAGTCGAACAGCCAACGAGCTGATTCTTCCTACACCACCATCATCATATGTAAATCATCATGAGACCACCATCTAAAACGTGCTGACTCCCACCACTGCCCACCTCTCATCATTCTGTAAACAAAATTTTTTTATTTGCTTAGTAGTAAATCAAGAAACAAGGAACGAACGAATAAATGATGAATTAAATGATTTAAAGAATGAATAGAATGAATCAATTAGTGGAGGAATAATTTGAAAGATAGTGATAAAATTAATGAGAAAAATAAAAAAAAACTAAGCCATACTTCAAACTTTGTTGTTTTCTTCAAATTGTCATCGGAACGATCATCATGAGACCATCATGTGAAACGTGCTGACGCCCACCACATCCCACCTCTCATCATTCTGTAAAAAGTTATTTTTATTAGTTTAGTAGTAAATCAAGGAACAAAGGAACGAACGAACGAACGAACGAACGAACGAACGAACGAACGAACGAACGAACGAACGAACGAACGAACGAACGAACGAACGAACGAACGAACGAACGAACGAACGAACGAATGAATGAATAGAACGAATTAACGTCAATTAATGGAAGAATAATTTGAAAGATTGAGGAAAAAATGAATGAATGAGAAAAATAAAAAAAACGAAACTAAACCTTACTTCAAAAATCGTCGTTACTTCAATCCATTGCACCGACCGCACCGACCACCACATTCAGATCGGCACACAAGATTTCATCCGAACTTCTGAGCGTCAGTCGAACAGCCAACGCGCTGATTCTTCCTACACCACCATCATACTTAAATCATCATGAGACCACCATCTGAAACGTGCTGACTCCCACCACTGCCCACCTCTCATCATTCTGTAGACAATTTTTTTATTAGCGTAGTAGTAAATGAATGTTAGAATCTTAGAAGCAAAAAATTATAAAATGGAAATAATGGCAAATAAATAATAACTGAAAATAATAGATTAAAATGTAAAAAAAAACTTACCGTCGTCCATTCGACAAAGGCAGAATGTTGAATGCAGTCCGGTTCCTACGTTGTCCTCCAAAACTGGTGCCAGTCCTCCTCGAGATTGTTGTTGAGACACAGCCCGTGGAATGGAGAAAGAGAAAATTCTCATCAGAAAACTTAGCGGTGCCTGCATCTCAAATTGCTTAATAAAAATAATCCTATCTACTTATTCAATTACCTTAACTAATCTATATTAAATTGTTAATGGTACGATAGTCGAAAGACCCCTTCATTCTCCCTCCTTTGCACAGAGGTTCACCGACAGCCAGGGCACCGGATAGTAAACCATTGCCGTGCGGATAGTAGACTATTGCCGTGCGGATAGTAAACCATTTGCCGTCCGGAAGCCGTGCGGGTAGTAGACTATGGCCATGCCGCATAGTAAATCATTACCGTGCAGATAGTAAACCATTGCCGTCCGGATAGTAAACCATTGCCGGTTCACCACTGGCCACCAAGGCTTACCTCTGACAACGGACTTTGAAATTCAGAGTCTATCGGCTATCGTACCCTCAGCTTACCTATTTATTACAATTAAGCCCTAGCTTACCTAAAATTACAAAACTCAAGAGCCCAATTCATTCGCCTTTCGGCACCCACCCCACCACCTACGTAATGCCTTGGGCTCCAACTTAGTAATAATAATATAAAACCTAAACATGAAATCTATAAATGAGTATGTGTTACAACGTAGCCTTAACTTACCTATTCATTACATTATGGCCTTAACTTACCTAAAATTAAAAAAAACTCAAGAGCCCAATTCATTGGCCTTTCGGCACCCACCCCACCACCTACGTAATGCCTTGGGTTCCGACATAATAATAATAATGTAAAACTTATAATTAATCTACCTATCGATACACATACAGCGTTTTAATTTACATTACAAGATTGTTCCTAGAATTACATTATTGCCCTTAACTACCTATGAAATTAAATTACTCTCAACCTTAGTAACAATAAATTAGAATGTGTATTGAAAATAAAATTACGCTCAAATACTAATATATGTGTTTATGTATGTGTTTGTGTGTGTGTAATTCGCTAATGCGTGTAATGTAGATGCAAGAATAAATAGAAGCGATAAACTTACGCGCCTACCTATTCAACTACATTAGTGTTGGATGCTTCCTATCTATCCTACCTACAATTAAAATTATGCCTATCTAACCTACCTAAATAGCTACTTAATGTAATTGTGTGTGTGTGTGTGCGTGTAAGCATTCTTACTTATTTTTAAATTACAGAGAAAAAAGAGTAAAACGTATCCCAGCCAGGAGTGTATTCTTTGCCTCCGAATGAATGAACGTAGCCTGACATCTTCCAAGATGAACTCCTCTGGAAGCTTCAGCCTGAATGAAATGAAAAAATCTTATTTATTTAATTTAAATGAAAATAGAGAAACGAGCCGCGGTGAAATACGCCAGCCGGAAAAGCCAGCCAATTGGCAAAAAGAGAAACCGCAAAGAAACCGTAAAACGAACCCCAGCCAGGCGTGCATTCTTTGACACTGAATAAACGAACGTAGCGTGACATCACAACCATTCTGATCTTCCACGATGAACTCCTCCGGAAGCTTCAACCTGATTGAATGAACCTGAAAGAACCTAAATGAATGAACGAATCTTATTTATTTAATTAATTTAAATGAAAATAGAGAAACGCAAAGAAGCCGACCAGTCGGCAAAGAAAAGAACCTCAAAGAAAGGTATCTATATAGGATTTATACTCTAACTCTATATAACTCTATATAACTCTATATAACTCTATATAACTCTATATAACTCTATATAACTCTATATAACTCTATATAACTCTATATAACTCTATATAACTCTATATAACTCTATATAACTCTATATAACTCTATATAACTCTATATAACTCTATATAACTCTATATAACTCTATATAACTCTATATAACTCTATATAACTCTATATAACTCTATATAACTCTATATAACTCTATATAACTCTATATAACTCTATATAACTCTATATAACTCTATATAACTCTATATAACTCTATATAACTCTATATAACTCTATATAACTCTATATAACTCTATATAACTCTATATAACTCTATATAACTCTATATAACTCTATATAACTCTATATAACTCTATATAACTCTATATAACTCTATATAACCATGCAAACTACCACATTCATACAATAAAAAACACACTAAAACCAGAAACCACCGCATACCTGCTGAATGTATGGTGTGAAACAAAACAAAAACAGAACACAAAACAAAAAACACACAACCAAGTAAGAGTAAAAGAATAGAAGTCCCTAACCTACTTATGTAACTAAATAACCTTATGCCCTAGCCTACCTATATAATAAATTAATTTTTACCTCACCTACCTATGTTTCATTAACTTAACTTAAGACTCATGAAGAAAGAGAAAAAGGAGTAAAACAGAACATAAAATACTACCACTCAAACAAACATGATGCATGTATGTATGTATGAGCAACCGCTAAAGAACCCACCTAAAATAAAAAAATGCAAAATACAAACATACAAACCACAGACAAACATATATAGCCGCGCAACTCTATATAACTCTATATAATAAAATAAATAAAATAAAAAAATAAAAAAATGAGATCAGGCAGACCGCTTCAAGCCTTAAGCGAGACAGAATGCCTGATCTGATTTTCATGTTTTCTCAGCTCCTATTTATACTCGTTTCAACCATACATTCTCATCATTTCAATCATTCACATCAGTAAAAAACTTATTTAATGTATGTACTACACTATTATACAGTCTTAACAACAACGCTAACCGTACTAAATTGACGTCAACGAACGAACGCCTTCGAGACTTTCTGGTTGGCTGGTTAAATCTGCCATATTGCTTTTTATATAAACATATAAAATTATTTGTATACATGAATTTTAGTTACTTTATATATATATATATATATATACATATATATATATATATATATATATATATATATATTGAAGTTCCGATGAATATATATATATATATATATATATATATATATATATCGGGTAGAATTCGAAATAGTTTGAGACCACACCTTGCTTAACATCCAATACCAAGCCGAGCCAAGCCAAGCTGAGCCAATATGCGTGGATTTATAAGCGCTTTTATATTAAAATTTTACTCGCTTTGTATATATGGTATAAAAATTTTCATGTTTTCTCAGCTCCTATTTATACTCGTTTCTACCATACATTCTCATCATTTCAATCATTCACATCAGTAAAAAACTTATTTAATGTATGTACTACACTATTATACAGTCTTAACAACAACGCTAACCGTACTAAATTGACGTCAACGAACGAACGCCTTCGAGACTTTCTGGTTGGCTGGTTAAATCTGCCATATTGCTTTTTATATAAACATATAAAATTATTAATTATTTGTATACATGAATTTTAGTATCTTTATATATATATACATATACATATATATATATATATATATATATATATATTGAAGTTCCGATGAATATATATATATATATATATTATATATATATATCGGGTAGAATTCCAAATAGTTTGAGACCACACCTTGCTTAAAATCCAATACCAAGCCGAGCCAAGCCAAGCTGAGCCAATATGCGTGGATTTATAAGCGCTTTTATATTAAAATTTTACTCGCTTTGTACATATGGTATAAAAATTCATTATAAAAGCAACAGTAATCAGTGCTACATATGTGCGCACGCAGTTCAAATTTTTCTGGAAGAATTCCAAATAGTTTGAGACCACACCTAGCTTAACATCCAATTTCAATCCGAGCCATGCCAAGCTGAGCCAATATGCATAGATTTATAAGCGCTTCTATATTAAAATTTTGCTCGCTTTATACACGAATATCCCCAATATCGATATCAATGAATTAGTTTTAAAAATATTTTATTAGAACATATACACATGTTTTATTTGCTAATTAATTCCATCCAATCATTTAAACACACACAACCTTCAATTTGAGCTATCTCGCAATCATTTCTTTTTATATCTACAAGCTTTCCAGATTTTGAAAAAGCTTGTTCTTTTGGTGTGGAAGTTGAAGGGATATAGTGTAGAATAGTATAGAATTCCGTACAGTATAGAATAGTATTGAATTCCGTATAGTATAGAATAGTATAGAATTCCGTATAGTATAGAATAGTATAGAATTCCGTATAGTATAGAATTCCGTATAGTATAGAATTCCGTATAGTATAGAATTCCGTATAGTATAGAATTCCGTATAGTATAGAATAGTATAGAATTCCGTATAGTATAGAATTCCGTATAGTATAGAATTCCGTATAGTATAGAATTCCGTATAGTATAGAATTCCGTATAGTATAGAATACCGCTAGCATGACGTCATTTCCTCCAACGATTCCGTAGCAAGTTTTCCATCCTATTTTAAAAATTTTCTTTCAGGTCGCAATCGTCATCAACGATATCGCGATGAAAATTTTTTTTAAAATTATTGATAAAAGTAATTAGTATAGAGTAATATGTTTAAATTTTTCTGAGAGAATTCAAAATAATTTGAGACTACAACATAACACAATTGTACAATTTGAATGTGTAAATACAACATTATAAATGTATTATAACTACACATATCTATCTATTTCTTTATTTAGTTTAGCCTGCGTATGATATTTGGTCAAATTATTTGATAAGATTTGAATATAACTTTTAAACCGGCTAATTAGCTAACAGGCAATTAAATAAACTACTGTTAACATGACGTCATTTGCCCATCCTATTTTACAAGTTTAATTTGATGCTTTTTAATCAGTCATTGATAACGCAATGAAATCAAATTGAGAATTTTTAAAATTTTTGAAAAAAATTATCTTTATTCATTTTATGATACTACTTTGCTTGTCTTTATTCATTTTTATGATACTACTTTGCCTGTTTTTTTTCAAATTTTTTTCCAATTCTTTCTTACTTTCTTAAAATAATTTCAATGTGAAAACTGACTGAGACATCGTTTCTTCTCTGTATTTAAAAACTTCGTGAAATCAGTCTAAAAAAAAATCGTTTGTACAAAAATATTTAATTTATTAATCACAATTTAATTTTGTACAAAAATATGTGTAAAGGTTAAAAAAAAGGTAAAACAAATTTAAAAACAAATGCAAAAATTGAAATAAGAACGAAAGCATCAAGCAACAAAAACTGTTAATCGAATAGAAGGCCACAAAAATATTCACTTTCTAGTAAAACGTTTCTCTTATAACTTTGGTAATAACCATTAAGTAGAAGTTTGTTTGAAGCAAGTAGATGTCGATTGTAATTTGATTTATACTCTAGCGTAGCAGTCCGTGACAAAGAAATAAAAACTTGTAAATAAAGAGGCTTGAACGAATCTGTCAAAATTCATACCTGGCACCAACCAAAACATCAGCATCACCAATAGGATCCCTGGAAACTTATAATTTGGTTTTCCACTGACAGATGCATTTTTTTGTCTTGTTAGACGCATGTGGTAGTTCTCGTCCTCGTCATTCTGATTCACGGAAATGAACCCAACGTAAGTGAAGACATCAAGACCTAAGATGGCCAGTGCGATGAGCACCCATGACGTGATGTGAAAGCAGCGAAGTGCGAAATTTATCAGCTCAGCATGCTTTTCCACACAAAGATGATTCCAAACAAAAAAATCATCTTTAAAAATTTGTCCATAGAATAAATTTAGCAGAATCAGGGATGACGTGATGAGCAAATTGACGGCTCTTAATGATTTTTCCAGATTAAAAATATCCAAAAAGTAATTAAGAAATTTTTGAAAATAATTGGTTTTCTGTACAATAAAACCTGCCAAAAATAAAAACTTCCAGAGAAACTGATTCCAAATGTCGGTCGGACAGGATCTCGTTAACACAGTGTACGAGCCGTTTCCAAAAATAACATCACCACTCACGTAATAAAAAAATTTGTACAAGGCAAAACTGGATAAAAGCAAACTGGCCGTCCCAAAAAATTTATTGGCAATCATCTTTTCAAACTAAAACTAGCGACAGAAATTCAGCAGGAAAGCTAAAAATATGCAACCAAAGAAGGGAGATGGCACGTTTAATACAGATCGATGTCATTACGATTACAATTATTTACCGATCATCTCGACGATTAGAAAAAAATTACTCATCAAAAAAGCTAAATTTTTGAAGAATTTTTTATTTTTTAATTTAGCAAAAATTCAGGAAACTCATCTCTCCCTCAGATTTCAATTATTCAACTGCCGAAAAGTCATTTCAGGCAATGCGGAAATTATTTAATCCAATCATCGGAATTTCCAAAACTGGGTTTTCCAAAATTTGAGAAATTTTGGAAATTCCAAAAACACAAAGAAAAAAAAGTTACAAAAACTTAATTTTTTTTAAATTGCAAAATTTTAAATAAAGAATATTTTAAAATAAATTGGGCTTTATTAAAAATCTAAAAAAATTTAAATAAAATAAAAAATTAATTATATTTAATAAAACAATGAACATCAAGCAATTGATCTAAAGTTGCCATGGTGATGTCTAAAATAAACAGTTCGTAACAAAGTTTTCAGCTAGTTTAACTTAAACACTCATTGTAGTTATTTAATTAATTAATTTTTTACAATTTATATTCGGAAATGCAATATTCAAATGAGATTAATAATTAAATAGGGAGGAAAAAATGAATGTAAATGTTTATGCAAAATTACAATCAAATACTAATAAGTGTAATGGTGACAAAAAGTTGACACCAACAAACATAAATTCATCATGGTTCGTTAAAATTAATCATTTTTTCATTAATTTATTTACTAATTAATTAAATTATTAATTCACTCATCTATATTTATTCATCCAATTATCAATAATTCAACTATAATATAATTATAAAATTAGTTATCTATCTATCCATTCCATTCGAATGTTAATGTTTATTATTTCATTTATTTTCAGATTTTATTTTCATTTATTATACACCTATTCTATTTATATATTATTTATAATTCCAAAGTTCTTTCTGATTCTTCATCATGAAACAATATAATTAAAAAAAACTTAGAACAAAAATAATTACACAAAATATTTTTCCGAAATCGAAATAGTTACAGGAAAATATTTAGCAGCCACAGTAAGACCTTGGACATATACAGAACTTCATTGTCCGGGGACGTAGAATTATTTCTTCATGGTTTTAACATTTCCATTTTAGTCCTAGGAGAACCACCACCGTCATCATCATCATCGTCATCACCATCAACCTTATCATCAACATCAACATCCTCATCGTCACCATCCTCTTCTAATTATTCTCTCGTGTTTGGGGATCGAAATTGTGAAAATGGACTTATCTATCATTTCTTCCATCAGTTATTTAGCATGATTCAAAGTGAGTTCAGTGGTTTTCCATAATTTATTTCATACTTTAAGATTATCAATTCGTCTGAATTATTATTATCACCATCATTCTATCATTATTTTCACTCTCGTCAAGTCATCACTATCTCAATTTTATACTAATCACCATGAAAATAATCACCATATCATCATCACTCTATCATCATTTTCACTCATCACTTTAAAGTGGTCACCATAAAAATTTTCATACATATAGCATAATAATAAAAAAATGAATACGCAGACCAAAACATGATGTCTGTAAGTATGTTCCAATTGGATGACTTCTCCCTAATTGACATGTTAGGAGCGGAATCAGATCAGGTGATCATCAAACGGTCGCCAACTGACGGTCCCTGCGTGTCGGTCAGTTACACACACGCACACATACACACACACACACATATATATATATATATATATATATATATATATATATATATATATACACACACACATACACACGCACATAAACACAGACACACGCATATACACACAGATACACACACACACACACACACACGCACATCTGGTCACTGCATCAGTAGGAACAATCATCTTGGCCGTTACACCATTGCACCTGCCAGTTATCAGATCAACAACCAATCATCAAACAAAGTCATCTAGGCAATCACTCACTCAACAAACTTCGATCAGTTAAACAATTGGTCAACCAACAAACTATTCAAACAACCAACCAACCAACCAACCATCAAACCAATCAACCAACCAACTATCTAACTATCCAACCGCTAAACAGAACCTGACCCAGATACAAGTGACCTCATTGAAAAGCGCCACCAACCTCATGGACAGTAGCCTCTCCAAACTTAAACACAACATGTGCACCTTTGTTCATGTTAATTATATTAAGGTTGATTTGTTACTGGATTGAAATTTACTGAAGTTAATTATTATTTTATTCGTTTTATTATTCTTTTTTTATTATTTAAAAAATTAAAAACTTATAAACTTAACTGCGAATTCAACATTTTGTTTCATAATCATTCATTCTGTGAACCAAATGTCAACGCAGCTGATTTCGAAGTTAATTAGTAAACCACCAGTTACTATCATCGCTGCGCTGGACTGTGACGATGTGGAATAGTTCTAGTTCCAGACCTGTTTCAAAGTTACTCTTGCGCCAAATCTTCTGCTATCGCATTTCATAAAAACTGCCTATCTGACCTTAATCGTAACCTCGTAAGTTTCCAAGCGAAGCCTGGTTTCCAACAAAGAAGGAAGTCGCAAGGAAGTTTAAAAGTCCATCTCAAGAAACATTGTCAAAAAGCAATACGGAACGTATGAGAAAAGTAGAGGTAAATAGCTGCGAAGCCGTGGCACGTCTCTTTTTTGGTTGTTTTATTTACAACTAAAGTCCGGATCATGTTCATGGTTTCCCTTTTTTTGAGGGACTTCAAGAGCAAGCTGCGAACCACAAAACTTTCTCTGCCTGTTAGTTGACGATGACGAAAATTATATGACAGCCAGCAATATTCAATATTGTAGACTGCAAACTCATGTCCAATAATATAATGACTTCGACTGGCCTCTCTTATGTCCTGTAATGTACACTCATGTCGAAGTTGAAAGTTGGTCACACACACACACACACAAACACACAAACACACAAACACACACACACACAACGAAATTGAAAGTTTTACAGACACACACACACACATCGACACACGCACACATATCGACAGTCGCACGAGGGCAACAACGTTTCTACGAAATCCCGCTTCACCATGATCGTCCTACCAATTACGAAAGTGCAATCTATAAATAGCCGATCCGGAATTCCGACGAGTGATTATTACAAGCAGCAAAAAGATGACAATGGGATTGAGAAACATCGGGATGATCTGATGAACAAATGCACTCTCAGCTTCTGCCAGGTGGTCGCACAGCTCGGCAACTTGACGTTCCCGGAGAGATGCATTGATTATAGGTTGGCTTTAAATTTGCTGATGTTGCTGTTGTTGATGTTGTGGATGTTGTTGTTGTTTTGTTGCATCTTTTGTTGTTGCTGTTGTTGTTGTTTAAAATATTATCACTGATACCAACATAATCACCATCTCACCAAATTAATTAAAGAGGCAGTCCCTTGACCTATTTGTTGGAGGATGTCTTGGGCGGAAACTGTAAAACCGCCGCTATTTTTTGTTTAAAAGTGAACTGCTGCTCCGATGACGCCCAGTATTTTAACTACCTGGCTACGAACATGGCAAAGGTCCTTAACTTTCCAGTCGTCAATACAGAATTAGTGCAGGTCATGATGATGATAATGATGATGATGATGATGATGGTGTTGATGATGATGATGATGGTGGTTATGATGATGGTGGTGGTGATGATGATGATGGTGATGAAGATGGTGGTTATGATGATTAGGATGATAATTGTGGTAATGATGAATGTTTATTATTATTATTATTTTCATTGCTCCCACATCCAGAAGCTGCTGACCCAGCATCGAGCCCGAGCGATTTTCAATAGCAGGAACAGCTGCTGCAAGAAGAATTGTCAGCTGGGGCAACATTGCGTTAGTTCAATTCTTGCGAGAAGGACACTTAACGCTATTAATGTCATTCCCGACCTGTCACTATTATTATCATTATAGTTATTATTATTATTGATGTTGTTATTATTGTTATTGTTATTATTATTATTTTTATTGTTTTGGGTAGGTAGCCATGCCGGCTGGTCCTGACTGCACGCCGATGATCAACGTGAACAAGATCAGTGAGTCGTCAACGATAATAATAATAAAATAATAATAATATATTATTATTATTTAATTAATTCCGTAGTATCGTCATCTTAAGCAATTTACTGAGATAGGAACACGATTTGAACGTTACTTAATGCTGATTCTATTTCTCTTTGTGCCTATTTAAAATGTATGGCGAGCATTGTAGAATATCTATATAATTTACATTATAAGTTTTATTATTTTAACTTTATAAAATTACAATGTATGTTTAAAAACGAAAATAAAAGGATTATTACTACTTATTAATACTGTTGTTGTTGTTATTGTTGTTGCTGCTGCTGCTGTTGTTGTTGTTGTTGATTTAAAATTTTTTATCATTATCCCAGGTGACAAGTCGAAGTTTTATCTAACTGAAGACGAGAAGTGCTCCGTTAGAGATGGATGATACGGCTTTTTTATTACCGCTATTTTGAGTTTTACGATATGACGATGATTAACAACATTATGATGATGATGATAATGATGGTGATGATGATGACGATGGAGGTGACGATGATGGTGGTGATGATGATGACGATGGAGGGGACGATGATGATGATGATGAGGAGGAGGATGGTAGTGATGATGATGATGGTGATGATAGTGATGACGACGATGTTAATGATGATGATGATGGTGGTGACGATGATCCCAAACACTTCCAGATCTTAGACACCATCAGCTCTCTGCGTCTGCAGACTGAATCTCTGAAATACGAGCGTGACAACCTGAAAGAATCATTCGACCTTTACAGGAAACATTCAGAGGTCAAGGTCAGTGACCTCGAGAGGCAGGTTCATGACCTTGAGAAGGAAATCTCCGAGGGCAGGACGATGTTAAGTTTGGAGAAGGATTTTTCTAGAAAGTTGGAGAAGAAATTGGAAGAGGTTGATTGTGGTCAGTTGCGCGCCAGGTATAACAGCCTGGTTGAGGAGGTGCAAAAACAGGTTGGTTATCTATCAAACCACTCTCCATCTATCCATCCAACCATCCATCCAACTATCCATCCATCCATCCATCCATCTATCTATCAAATCACTCATCCATCCATCCATCCATCCATCCATCTACTCATTCATCCCCGACAGACAGACCACATAGAGAGCCAACGAGAAACCCTCATAAACATCCTCGATTTCCCTCCCAAACCATCACTATCTCACCTCCAGAAGATCGAATGTGGTAGCTGCCGGTCGAGCGGTAGCGACGCTGACGTCGGTGGCTGCATAGCGGGAGAGAGAGAAGGAGAAAGATTGAGGAGAAGGAATGAAAAACTGAAAGGAGGAAGATGTAGATGTGGTGACGGTTACGATGACGTCATTCCAAATGGCGTTATGCTGAAGTTGAAGGAAGTTATTAAGGAACTAAAAGATGTTGTCGAGGTGATGATGATGATGACAACGATGATGATGATGATGCATAATGATGATGGCGACGAATTTCTTTTACAATTTTTCTCCCACCAGAGTTCGAAGAAACAGCTGAACAGCTTGTCCGACGTCACACTGGTTAATTTTCCCCCATTATCATTACTATCATCGTCATCATTATTATTGTTATTATTATTATTATTATTATTATTATAATTATTTCATTCGAGCTATTCTTTTCATCATCATCATCATCGTCGCCATTAAAATCATCACCATCATCACCACCATCATCATCACCATCATCATCATCACCATCATCATCATCACCACCATCATCATCATTATCATCATCATCATCATCATCATCACCACCACCATCATCACCATCATCATCATCATTATCATCATCATCACCATCATCATCATCACCATCATCATCATCACCATCATCACCGTCACCACCATCTCAGAACCTACGTCACTGTGGTGGGGGACAGCAGAGCCCGCCACCAGGCCACGTGATCAAGATGGTGGATAGCGCCATTGATGAACTGAAGAGTTGCTACAACATCATGAAGAGTAGTTATCAGAACCAGATGTTCGTTCGTTCGTTCGTTCGTTCGTTCTTTAATTCATTCATTCATTCGTTCGTTCGTTCATTCGTTCATTCGTTCATTCATTCATTCATTCATTTATTCGTTCATTCGTTCATTTATTCATTCATTCATTCATTCATTTATTCATTCATCCATATTCATTCATCCATATTCATTCATCCATTCATTCATTCATTCATTCATTCATTCATTCATTCATTCATTCATTCATTCATTCATTCATTCACTAATTCCATTTATTCATTCACTAATTCCATCAATTCTCAATGAATTATTGTAATTAGCCCCCTCATTAATATTCATGAACAAGTAAGGACCAATCAGAAGAGCTCAACCTCTTGAAGCTGCAGATGCGTGATACCCAGAAGAAACTGTCGCAACTAACTGCTGTCAGCGTTTGAGTTGATGGTTTTGTGATCGATTGGTTGATTGGATGGATGGATGGATGGATGAATGGATGAATGGATGAATGAATGAATGAATGAATGAATGAATGAATGAATGAATGAATGAATGAATGAATGAATGAATGAATGAATGATAGAACGAACGATCAAACAAATGAAAAAATGAACAATTAAATCAGTCAATCAATCAATCAATCATTCACCGAACTCAGAGATATTTGATATGTGAAAGAGACAGGACGATCTTGGAGACGGAGAACACGACAGTTCAGAACAGGTTGAAGAAGTGCCTGGAGGATTGTAGGAGAAGGATAAACAAGATGGCCGCCACTGAACACGTGAGATGATGATGATGATGGTGGTGGTGGGGATGGTGGTGATGATGATGACAGTGGTGGTGGTGGGGATGGTGATGATGATACTTGTAATTGTAGCAATGATAATAATAATGATTATGATGATTGCTAATCATTCTGTTTAACCATCCAACCATTAAACCGACCAACCAATCACACAACCAGCCAACCAACCAATCATACGACGGCCAACCAGCCAATCACGCAACCAACCAACCAGCCAATCACACAATCAGCCAATCACACAACCAGCCAATCATACGACGGCCAACCAACCAATCACACAACCAGCCAATCACACAACGAACCAATCATTACAACGGCCAACCAACCAACCAACCAATCAATCACACAACGATTAACCAGCCTAGTATGCAGGACGTGTTGAGTGACCTGAAATGCCTGCAGATGAGCAGGGAGAGCCAACTGACCCAAGCTGTCCATTTCTACAAACGTAAACTGGCCATATTCCTCAACAAACACGAGAGGCTGCTCGTCGCTTATAGGTTGGTTATGATTATGATTGTGATGGCGGTGATAATGATGATGATGATGATGGTGGTGATGATGATGATGATTGTGATGATTGTGATGGTGATGGTGATGATGATTGTGGTGATGATGGTGATGACGATAGCGATTGTGATGAAAATCTTGGAGGCTGCTCGTTCATACTGGTGGTAATAATGGGGTGACAAATTTTCATGGAGAATTTTAATAATCGCATGTACACACGCACACACACGCACACACGCAGGGATATATACGAGCAAGTGAAGGCCAAAAACATAAAAATCGATCCATCCATCATTCACGACTACCTCGATAAAGTCAAAAATGGTGGTGGTGTATCTACCACCACCATCACCACCAGTAACCCCCTTTATAACCCAGTTGGTGATAACGATGTAAATGTTGGTCAGAAACGGGCAGACAAAATTTTGAAAGTTTGTTCAAAATTCAAAAATTTTGAATTCATTCATTCATTCATTCATTCATTTATTCATTCATTCATTTATTCATTTATTTATTCATTCATTCATTTATTCATTTATTCATTTATTCATTTATTCATTTATTCATTTATTTATTCATTCATTCATTTATTCATTTATTCATTTATTCATTCATTCATTCATTCATTTATTCATTTATTCATTCATTCATTCATTCATTCATTCATCCATTCATCATCTTCATCTTCAAAGTCTTTATCATCATTATCATTATCAAATCACTCATCATCTTCGCTGTCACCATCACTACAGACACCCAGCCTTGGTAAGAAAGGTGATAATAACAAGAAGAGAGTGAATATTAATGATGGAGATGATGATGAAAGAGAGAGGGTGAGATTATTGAAGAGGAATTATCTATTGAAAGAGGAGATTGGCCAGTTGCAGAAGTACATAAACAATAATCTCGTAAGGTATGTGTGTGTGTGTGTGTGTGTGTGTGAGTGTATGTGTGCGTGTGTGTGTGTGTATGTATGTGTGTATGTATGTGAGTGTCTGTGTGTGTTTTTACGAGTTTGTGTGTATATTTGTAGTTTGTACATCTGTGTATGTCTGTTGTGTATTTGCCTTTTATACTCTAGTTAATAAATTCATTCATTCATTCATTTATTCAGTCATTCATTCATTCATCCATTCATTCATCCATTCATCCATCTATTCATTCATTCACTCAGGTTTAAAGATGAATTCGATAACAACCAAACACCGCGCCAGCAGGCCTCGCCAACTGGCGCAGCGAAAGATTTTGATCTTTTCAGGTCAACTATGGCTAATTGGCCTATAATTATAATTATTAATTGTCAATTATATCAGGCCTATAATTAATTCCATTATAATTATTTTACTATAATTAACGTTTTTGTCGTTTTATAATTTTAAATTTGTATTATTTTACAAGTTATATTTCAAGTGTGAATGGCGCCCAGATGTATATGCTTTGATTTTTTTAGTTAATTTTTACTTGAATTGAGTTGAAAGTGTGTTTGAACAAATAACAACATCAACAACATCAACTACAACAACAACATCAGCAGCAACAACAAAAAATCTTAAGAAATGTTGTTGACGCGTAAAAATTATTAGTAATAATTTTAATAATTATACTAATAATTAGACTACTATCACTTCTACTACTACTACTACTCTATTATTACTACTCCTATTAATAATAATTAATAATAATCATAATAATAATTATTGATATACTTAAATAATTAACTAATAAAAATAATATCATTATTATTATCTTGAAATTACGTAACATTTTTACCACTTTTTTTTGCCAAATTCAGCTCCCTGTAACAAAACCCTCTCCGCTTTTCGACGCGCCCCATCGTCATCATCATCGTCATCATCATCGTCATCATCATCGTCATCATCATCGTCATCATCATCGTCATCATCATCGTCATCATCATCATCATCGTCATCATCATCGTCATCATCATCAATCGTTGACGTCATCACCATCGTCACAATTATCATTTCCGCCGTTGCTCTCCTCGCTCTGGCCTCCTAGCCAATCAACACGGACGACACCAATGACGTCATCGCCCTTGCGTTCATCGTCTCTATCATCATCATCATCGCCAACTTCATCACCGTCACAAAGACTTCACATCAATGTGCCAAGAACTGCAACTGAAGAAGATTCAAGGGACAGATCAAATGAAAAGAAACAGAGGAATTCAAATGTTGTCGGTGAAAGAGTAGAAGAGAGAGAGAGGGCAAGAGAAAGAGAGGAAGAGTGAGGAGATCTATTAATGAGGATGAAAATGCTGTTTGGGAGGACGCCACGAAAGATCATCATCGGCATAAAAAAGTTACCATCACATCAGAGTCACATCACCAATATTTTGATCCACCCCTCTGATTGATGAACACACACACACACATGCACACACACACACCCACAAACACACACACACATACGATTACACATACACTTATATATATAAATATATATTTATATTATTTTACATAGTTATTTTCTTAACCATTATTATAGAGAGAGAGAAAGAGAAAGAGAGAGAGAGAGGGAGGGAGGAAGAGAAAAAGAGGAAGAGTTTATAATAATGAATGATAATTGATTGGAATAGTCTTTTTACAAAGTTCTTGCTACTTAGACTGACTTGAAATGATTGGAGAACAGTCTCGCGTACGTACAGTCATTGTACTTTTTGTACTTTCTGTATTTTTTGTATTTTTTTCAATGTGATGACGAGACTTGAAGGTACAAACCTTTCATGTAATAGGCTTCGCATATATTTTTTCAAGTTTCAATCGATTACTTCATTTAATTATTCGTTTAATTGTTTATTCTTTCATTCATTCATTTATTCATTCATTCATTTATTCATTCATTCATTTATTCATTCATTCATTTATTCATTCATTCATTTATTCATTCATTCATTTGTGTTTTTTCATTAGCTAATTCATTCATTTATTAATTCAATAATAGTTTATTAATTCAATAATAATTTGTTCATTCATTCATTATTCATTCATTCTTAGTAGTAGTAATAGTAGCAGCTTTACCAGCAGTAGCAGCAACGACAGCAGCGTCAGTGGTACTAAAAGAAGTAACAGCTACAGCAGTACGGATACATCCCAAATTATTTTTTCACTCCTTCCTCTAACAACTTCACCACCACCATCATTCATCATGTTACCTTATCGTCACCAGATATTTTCATCATTTGAATTCAGTTGTATGACTTAAGTAAGCAATTATTTATTCAATTTATATCAAACTAATTAGCATTTAATTGATGAATTAATATTCATTGGTAATAATTCGATTAGCATTTAATAGATTTTTTTTTATTTAAGAAATAAATAATTTAAACGATTCACTCCTTGTCCGACTTAATTAATTATACATCATAAGAGTTTTGTATGTAATGGATACAAACATAACAAAGAAGAACAATTATCGATGTGTTTATTTGAATCCGAAAAATTTTGTTCACACATGTGTGTATGTGCGTGTGTGTGTGTGTGTCACGTGTTGTGTGTATCATTCACTCGCGTGATCATGTATGAAAATTGAAGTGCGCAAGACAGAAGAGAACAAATAATCGTGACAGACAGGCTTGTTGATTGGACGGACAACAAAAAATTTTTAATGAATATATTTTATTATTTATATTTATTATTGTTATTATTATTATTATTGTTGTTGTTGATGATGATGTAGTTGTGGTGAGAATTTGAGAATTGTTACAATCGTCATCATCGTGAGAGTCGTCACGCCAGTAAGACTTTCACCATATCTGGAGGGGAGGAGGCAGTTGATAGGTGGACTATTGAATTCATTGTTGTTCAGTACATACGTTCATTCATTCATTCGATCATTTATTCATTTTTTCACTCACTGATTTATCATTCGGTTATTCATTCATTTGTTTATTCAAACAAACAGCCACATCGGCGACACCAGCGACATAAGCAACAAACTTGACGACACTACCAACAGCGACATCGACCATGACCTTGATAATTGATCATCCCCTCCCCATTCTGATCCACCTCTCTAATTAACTCATCCAACTCTTCGTTGCTCAGTCTCTCGCCGAGTGACGTCAGAGACGTCCTCAGGTCCTGCACTGATATCAGACCGTTGCCCTGTTTATCGAAAACCTGGAGGTGATAAAGATCAAAGGTCAATTATAAAAAAGGTCGGTGATTGTAGTGATGGCGATGATGATGATAGTGGTGATAAAAATAATAATAACACTAAGAATAAAAGTATAATATTAAGTTTTATTACCATTGTTATGATTATTATTATGATTATGATTATTATTTTTCTTATTGTGGAAAACCTGGAAAGCATCCCTGAGTTCTTCGGGTGTCGTTTTAGGGTTTTTGATTCTCTTAGAAATGATCTGGCATAGTGTATTTATATCCACCTTCCCACCGACTTTAAATGGATGAAATAATATACATTTTTCCAATTTTTAATAAAGTAATTTAAATTTCAGTACAATAGGCAAAAATTTGAAAGGTATTATCATTAATAAGATAATATCTATTCATTAAATTTAATGAATAACTTTCAACGTAATGTTATTTTCGGTCAATAAGAAAGATGTACACCTCTCATTATCATAATTTATTCATTAAACAACATAGTCAAATTTTATAATTAACATTATTTTTTCACTCATAAAATTTGATTTTTGCTTTACCTAATTATTTATGCATCAAATCAAACACAACAAAAACAGTTGTTCATAATTAATATGCAAATTTATTCACAAAAACCCTTACTTCCATTAACATCTCCAATGATATCCTTCAGTTCATTTTCAGTTGGATTGAGGCCGACAGACCTGACAGCACTTGGAACTTCTTTTGATGTTATTTTGCCGTCGTTGTCGTAGTCGAATAAGAAGAAGGCTTCTTCCAGTTCTAAATGATTTATTTATTTTATAATAATAATATTAATTCAAATTAATATTAATCTTTTTATATGAATATATTTTTATTATTCATTATAATATAAATTTAATAATAAAATCAATCAATCAATCTTCGTTTTGCGTCCAGAGACCTGGTTTCCCGAGGTAGGACGTTGTTTCTTTGCCATCAACTTTTTGCGCCAAATTAGATGATCAGTTGTATCCATTTCATTTAAATTTAGAGCTTTCATGTCTTGCTCGATTGTTTGCGACTAGGACTTCTTTGGACGGCCTTTGGGACGTGTGCCAGGTACTTCAACATCTGCAGGAGAAGTTATGGCACTGTTTCCACTTCGTTTGACATGACCAAACCACCGCAGACGGTGTTGCCGGCATTCGTCCTCTATATCATCTAAACCAGCACGACGCCGGATTTCGGTAGATTTGATGAGGTCCTTCAGACTAATTCGTTGCATCCATCGGAGCATTTTCAAGTCGGTTCGTTGAAGTTGTTGTTCCAGTTTGGTTGTCACTGGCCATGTTTCTGCACCATATAACAACACTGGACGTATCACAGATTTATAAAGTCTTGATCGTAGTAGTAGTTGAATGTCACGCCGCATCAATATAGAGGCAAGGAGATGCCATTTATTCCAGGCTGCACGTATGCGTGCTCGAACGGCAGCTTCAGCTGTTCCAGTACAATCCAGAACATCCCCTAGATATTGAAACGATGTGACTTTCACTATTTTAATGGCTTCAAAAACAGTGCTATTTCGAATTTGTTGTTGTGGATTGATGCAAGCGAGACAAACAAAATTGGACATTTTAGATAAAGTACCAATTATTTTTGAACAACGTTTGTGACACCACTGGTTACACTGCTGACACTTGATTGAATTGTTACCTACACCAGCTTTACAAACTGAACAGGGCCATCGTCCAGTAGCTGTGGATTGGATGGGTTCACCAGTGTTCATTGCTTTGGTTTTGCTGATGTTGACTTTGAATCCATGATCGGCCAGTCTGGTGTTCCAATCTTCAAACATCTGTGCTGCATTCTGCTCAGACGTGGCTGTTAAAACGATATCATCAATATATACTAGAATCCAAATGTCACCAGTGCGTATTGGTTTTGTGATTTCTTCCATCACAGTTATAAATAACAGTGGACTGAGAATCGAGCCTTGGTGAACTCCAACGCCGATGACAAATGCATCTGTGTTTCCAACCGTTGTGCTGACAAAAGTCTTAGTATTCGTATACATTTCCATCACAAGTCAAACAAGATATTCTGGAATGAATTGTCGACGTAGACTCCATCTGATTGCTTCACAGGGAACTCGATCAAATGCTTTTTCAAGGTCTACAAAAATGTGTGATAGTTGTTGATGCTTTGCGAGGTACTTTTCTTGCAGTTGCCGAAGGATGTGAATTGCATCAATTGTTGATTTCCCTGCTAGAAAACCAAATTGACAATTTCCGATTGTGATGCACGACGTTAATCTTCTCTCAATGATTTTTTCAACAATTTTCAGGAAGTGTTCTAACAGACGTATACCCCGATATGATGAACAGTTCAATGGATCACCTTTGCCTTTGTATAGCGGGACTGTCATGCTATAGTTCCATTCAGTCGGCATTGGGCAATTTCTCCAGATTTCACGGCAAAGTTGTAGTAACGTTTGGATACCTGTAGTACCAGATGCTTTGATAATGTCATTTGTGAGTCCAGAGGGCCCTGCTGCCTTTCCATCCTTCATAGCTTTCAGAGCTTCTGTAAGCTCCTCTAAAGTGATGTCTGGAATCGGACCTTCGATGGGTGGAGCGTCAAAGTTAACATTGATGGGATTTGTTTCATTTAACAGACGATTGAAGTATTCTCTCCACTGTAGCTTGATCTCATCTTGTTCAAGAACCATCTCATTTTTGAACACAATTTAATAAATTTAATAATAAAATAATTAGGAATAAACTTCAAATAATTGATTCATAGAAACTTTAATTATTTATATTTGTTGAAATTTTAAGGATTTTAAAAGTTAATTAAAAATTTAACTTTAAAGTTTAAAGACCCACCTTTGACAACTGTTTGCGGAAGTGCCTGCAATTAATTTTTAATCATTTTAAATTCAAAATAATCATTTTAAATTAAATTCTAAACATTCATTCACTAAATAAACACAAAAAGCAACAAAAAACCGACCATTTTTAAGAGATTTCTGCACGAAAAGTCCAAAAACTTTATCGGGTTGACACGATTTTTAGGTGTGTAGTTTGATTGAACTAAAGTTCACTTTTCATTGTTACACCTTGACAGGTGATTGCTTTTTAAATTCCTTTGTACCGCATACATTATCTGTTATACCTTTGATGTGTTTCAGTCTTAACCAATATTTATACAAATAAAATTGTAACAAAACGCTATTTTGTTGATTTATCTTAATAAAACTTAAAAAATCTTCAAAGAAATTTTCTGTTTATTCAAATAAAATTTGTCATCTTTTTGCACCTTCAAATTTCAACCAGATTGAATGCTCCATATCAAACTAGATAAAACATTCATGTTGAAATGTGATCGTATAGCTTATAGATATGGGTCAATAAAGTAATGAAAAAATTATGAAATTGAGTGAATTAAATGGGAAATGAAAGCAAAATTACTGACAGCATTACTGTTGGGCGGTGTCGGGGGCATGGCGGGGATGAACGTGCGCCACGGCAAGTACGAACAGTTCAAGAAGCCCGAAGTTAGGGATGTCATCGATGAGGAGCCATATGCCGTTCAAGTGCCTGCTTTTTTATTGTGATTGTTTTTCGCGTTTTAAATCTGCACTGTTCTGTTCCGGTTTGTGCAATTTACGTTATGATCTGATTCCATTCATTATGCATAGCGTGGCATAGATCATTTTCATTTTTCCTTGTTTCTCCAGTGTCTGGGTCCAGTCCAGATGAACCTGAACCTGGAACTGGAATCCATATGTAACATTAATGTTAATCAGACAATTATTATTCATTATTCTATTTATTTTTATATTTTGTTGAATTATAATATTGTGATAAATATAGAACTTCAAAGTTGAAGTTGTTTAGCATTATAATTCTAAATATTATTTGATTTAACAAAAATATGTAGAATTATAAATCATAAAATCTAATCTTTTTGAAAAAAAAATGTTTCCAACATACAGGTATTCTTACATCTACCTTTGAATGCAGTCTCGAGATTGTGGGGCAAGATGTGCAACATCACCTTGCCAGAGTGGGCCAGACCCCACATCTTGGGTCTCTACATCAAGAAGTACAATTGCAATCTGGCTGAGGCAGAAAATGAAGACTTGAAATCTTACAAATCATTAGGAGAATTCTTCAAAAGAAACCTTAAAAACGAGACAAGACCCATTGATCACTCGCACTCACTAGTTCGTTGTTATCCTAATTATTAATTATATTTATTATTTCTTAGTCATTATTATTTATCTCACTTGACTAAATGCAGTTTGACTGGGTTTTTTCATAAGCCTTATGTGTGCAGTTGATGCTCATTGTTTTTGAGCTCATTTTTAAAATGCCCTTTATTATAACAACATTTTTATGATATTTAAAGAATTTATAACTTGAAAATTAAAAAAAAAATAATTCATTCAATTAAGGTCAGTCCGTGTGATGGCCTCATATTGAGCTATGGAAAGATTACCAAAGACAAAGTTGAGCATGTCAAACTAAAAACTTATTCTCTAAAATACTTCTTAGGCCCCAAGACATGGAAGGAAAATAATTCAATCTTTTCAAACCTGAGAAACTCCATACTCATGAACAAAACCCAAGAAAAAATTAACGTTTCAACTTCAAACAACTGTGAGGATGGCAACACGGTAGCTGAAGAACATGAATCATCTTTCTGCAAAGAAATTAAATTGAACAACGACACCGATCTGTACCACTGCATCATATATCTGGCACCAGGGGACTACCATAGGTTTCACTCACCTGCTAACTGGTTCTGCTCCCTGCGCCGATATTTTCCTGGTTATTTCATTTTTTTATTTTTTTTGTTTATTACCTTAAAAATGCAATTTGATGTAATGTTATTAATCTCACAAGATGCTTATTCATTGATACACGATCAACCTTTTTTCGAATGCACAGTCTTAAACTGCATAAAGTTAATTCAGTTAAGTTTTTATTTTTACCTTCCAGGTTACCTGCTGAGTGTCAGTCCCAAGATGGCCGACAAATTTCCGGAACTGTTGAACGTGAATGAGAGGGTCGTGTACATCGGGCAGTGGGAGTCGGGATTCTTTTCAATGGCTGCCGTCGGGGCTACCAATGTGGGCTCCATCAGAGTTTACAAGGATCCTGTTGGTCCTCTTTTCATATTTTTTTTTATAAAGTAATTTAATTTTTATTTTCGGTAACATTTCACTTTGTGTTTTTCTTTTCCTACGTTGTGATATTTCACCAATTGAGTAGCTACATATTTCACCTTTGGTTTTTCTGTCCCGTGATTTCAGGAATTGAAAACGAATCAGAAAGCAAATCAGCCATCGATGATCGATTTGACATTCGATAATTTCTTCTCGCCGTCATCCTCATCTCACCCACCACCGGCTACACTGACGTCTTCCTCATCATCATCATCATCCTCTTCATCTCCGGCCTCCCCATCCCTGGCCACCTCCTTATACTTCACAAAAGGTGAACAGTTTGGTGAGTTCAATCTCGGCTCCACCATCGTCCTCATCTTTGAGGCAGACAAAAATTTCAAATTCTCTGCAAAACCCAACGACTTCGTTAAATTCGGGCAAGGATTAGGCAATTGACTTCACATTTCCTCTTGCTCCACAGTCTATAAAAACACTAAATAAATATATATATATATATATTATATATATATATTTATTTATTTATTTATAAAATACGTATTTTCTTTGTGTTCATGAAAAGTGTAATCATTATTATTGGAAAATATCATTCGTTGTTGTTATAATATTTCAGAAGGTTTTAGGTGAAAATAAACAGTTTGCATTTGCCTGTAAGCCAGCAGTGATAATGTAGTTTTTATATTGTTATAATTAAACAATTCTGAGAAAATTCTACTAAGAAAAAATGAAAAGGCAAACTTTAAATTGACTAATGCCAACAATTCGGTAGAATTCATACAATACTGTATAAAATATGGCCTCCTTCCAACTGTTGTATATATCTATACAGAGTCGTGGATCTTTATTGTGTATGTGTGTGTGAGTGTGTGTGTGTCTGTCTGCAATGATGTCTATTTCTGATTGTTTATGATGCTACCGATAAAATATTGCTAATGCAACATAACTTGAGACTTGTTTTAGCATTTGTTACCATCGTTTTGAAAAACCTTGTATTAAATTTTTTTTTACAAACAATTTTATTACAGTTTGTATGAAGAAATTTTATAAAATTAAAAATTTTCTTATCGAATGTATTGGACATTATCAAAAAAAAGATGAATGAATGGGTGAATGAATGAGTAATGAATGAATGAGTAATGAATGAATGAATGGGTGAATGAATGAGTAGATACGATATATAAGTCAGTCACCGAAAGGGCATTAGAGTATCAGAGGGCAAGGAAAGATAGAAGGTCAAGGATGAACCAAATGTTAATGTTGAATTGAGGTTAAGATGCAGTGATGCAACGTATGAATTTATATGAGATGATTTGAATATGTATGAGATGATTAAAATAAGATACACAAACGTAATGTAAACACATTCAAAATTACACACATAATATGGAAACAAATACAAAGGACAATGGTATGTAAAAAATTTGACAGCCAAAAAAAATGTACAACGGGAATTCAAAAACTAATTTCATTAAAAACATCAAACGAAAAGAGTGCACTTGTCACATTAAGTACAGAAAATGTCTGAAACATACATACGCGCGTCATATACACACGTGCACGAGTAAGTACCAAAACGTGTATGACGTACATATTATAAAACTACATCATAAAAATTCTATACGCTATGGGGCGTGTTACACACTCACACGCAAACAATGTTACACACACACGCAAACACAAACACATATATATCTATTTTTTTTACAATATTCTATAAATTCTACCGAATATTTGGCGTTAATATGTTTGTAGTTCGTTTTTTCGATTTTTTTCACTAAAGTTTTTTTAATAAACTAAACGTTTACCAAAAAACTTTAGTGAGAAAAATCGAAGAACTACAAACATANNAACGCCAAATATTCGGTAGAATTTATAGAATATTGTAAAAATTATGGTCTATTACCAACATATATATATATATATATATATATATATATATATATATATATATCGATATGTGGTGGATTAGTGCAAAAGATTCAACTCTGCTTACACGGAGAAGATCTTTTACCGAAAATTAATGTCAGCTGGGAACAAAAGGAATCCAACGATTGCTTTCGTCCCATCTTTCGTTGAAGAAATCAACACTGAAGAAGTTGTCACCAAATTAGGAACATAATAATTTGAAAGTTCGGTCAAACTCAAACAAAATTATCAACACGTGCAGACGGTTTAAGATGAAAATTTAAAAACGTTGTAAAATACTTTTCTTGGGAGTAAATTCGTCGGTAAATAAATACGAACGAACGAACGAATGAACGAACGAATGAAGAAAGAACATCATAATGTTAATATCTGATCAATAAACTAATAAGAACTAAAAAAAATAAACATTAATCGAAAGGTCAAGGATGAACGAATCAATGATCAAGGATGGAAGCCAGTTTGGCCTTGAACTCTTGTAGGACGTTGTTCTCGTCGTCGACGTTCAGATCTAAGTAGTCGGTGTCTTGCTCGTCGTTGAAGCCGTCAATGATCTCCTCTTCCAGGAACTTCTTCATCTCCTCCGTGTCCATGTTGCTGGCGCTCCCAGAAGCCGCTGACGCAGCTGAATTGGACTCTGCAGAGATGCGTTTGTGTGGTCGGTGTGGTAAGTTGCGTGTTGAAAGCGGTGATGCGTGTGGTTGGTGTGGTTAATTGTGGTCGGAAGTGGCGATGCGTGTGGTTGGTGCGGTTAATTGTGGTCTGAAGTGGCGATGAGTGGGGTTGGTGTGGTTAATTGTGGTTGCAAGTGGCGATGCGTGGGTTTGATCTTCAAACGAAAACAAGCATGCAAACCATCGAAGCAAACAGGCAAACAACACGACCACAAACAACAATTGGCTCAACCACACAAAACCACGGCTCACCGTCAGTGGAACCGTTACCATCAACACCACCAGCAGCAGCAGCAGAAGTAACTTTTTTAGCTACTTTATCCAGCCACTCCTTCGGTATCTTACCAGAGAGATTGAATAACTCCGCGGTAGCTTCCTCCAAGTTGCCCTCAAAATGATGGAGGGTAGCTCGGCTGACGTCGGCGTCGAACCCGAGACTCACCAGTTGGCTGATCATCTCATCTGTTATTTTCAATTTCTTCTTTTTGGCCTCTGGATCTGGCAGGCGGAGGTTTGGATTCGTCTGCAGGAACTGTGTGGATGGTGGTGGTGGTGCAGAAAATACAACAACGACAACAACAACAACAATTAATAATATAATAATAACAAAAATAACAACAATAACAATATTAACAACAACAACAATAATAATAATATAAATAATAATAAAAATAATTTACAAGAACCTCAATGGCCAGCATGAAGTTGTTGTCGTGTTTCTTGAGGGCTTGCAGGGTGGCCCCCTTGTCGAAACCCATCGAGGTCAGGTTCTTGTAGAGGCTGGCATCCACCCTGGTGGTGGTTATGATGACGATTGTTGTTGTAGTGGCGATGATGATGATGATTGTTGTTGTAGCGGCGATGATGATGATGATTGTTGCTGTTTTAAAGATGCTGGTGGTGGTTATGATGATGATTGTTGTTGTAGTGGCGATGATGATGATGATTGTAGTTGTTTTAGAGATGATGATGATCATCATCGTAAGGAAAATGGTGATGATGATAGTTGCTGTGAAAAAGATGACAACTTCAGCAATTCTAATCGACCATTCAATCAATAAATAAATCAATCAATAAGCGTTAATCAATCAATAAATTAGTCAATCAAAGTTCAATCTCATTCAGTCATGAAGTCAATCAAACAATCACCCAACTAATCACCCAACTAATCACCCAAATCAATCAATCAATCAATCACCCACCCAAATTATCACCCAATCGATCAATCAATCAAACAATTAATTAATCACCCAGCCAATCACCCAATCAATCAACCAATCACCAACCCAACCAACCAATCATCCAACAAATCAATCATCCAACCAATCAATCATCCAACCAACCAATCAACCGATCAATCGTACAACTAACAGCTGACCACTGCTGGTCTTTCCAAGAACCTTCGCCATCTTCTTCCTGTACTTTTCTTCTTTTTCCTGCTCCTCAATTTTCCTCCTCTCCTAAGAGAAAAATTACCACAAAATGAAGCTCTAAAGAGATGCAAACGTGCGGCACAAATGTATACAAAAAGAAGCAAACACATACAAACAGATGCAAGGACATACAAAGAAATACAATATACAAATAAACAAACAATGACATACGAAGAAAAACAGATACAATGTGCAAACATATACAAAAAAGATGCAAAGAAAAACATACACCCATAGAAACATATACAAAAAGATACAATCACATACAAACAAATGCAAAGACGTACAAAAAAAAAAAAACACATACAAACATATACAAAAAAAAATACAAAGAAATACATCAGAGCACATACAAAAAAATACAACATACAAACAAAACAAATAAACACATAGAAACAAAAACAAACACATACAAATGTATACAAAAAGATACAAACTTGTTTCTTAGTCATGATATGCTCAATGGCTTGCGACACGTTACCCTTACAAAACCTCAGGGCCAATCGGGCCTCCTGCTCTGAATAGCCTATCTCCATGACTGATGATAATTATGATGGTGGTTGTGGTGATGATGATGATGATAGTAATAATAATAACAATAATAATAACAACAATAATGATAATTAATGTTATCCTTTATTAAAATATTATCATAAAGATCTTAAGGATTATTGAAGTTGTACGAAGCTTATGAAGAGGATGAAGAGGATGGTGAGGTGACTGACGATGGTGAAAATGATGACGATGATGGTAGTGATGATGATAATGAAGAGAATGATGATGATAATGACGGTGACGATAACGATGGTGGCGAGGATGATGATGATGAGAATGATGATGATGGGAATGATGATGGTGAAGAGAATAATGATGAGAATGATGATGATAAAAATGATGATGATGATGTAAGCAGCAGTTTTGGTTACTCACTGGTCATCATGTCTTCCTTATCAACTTGCAGAGATTTCAATTCCTCTTCTGCCTGTTTGAATCAACTGTGCATCATCACCATCATCATCGTCGTCATCACCACCATCATCATCATTAACTACAAAAACATACAGAACAACTAACAAACAGAAACATACAGAGGAACGAAGAGAACAAGCTAACAACAAAAACAGCATATAAAGCAACGTACATAAACAACAAAATATACAAAAACAACAAAGCATACAAAAACATACAAAACATACAAAACAACAAACCATACAAAAAAACAAACCATACAAAACAACCGACATACAAAAATAGCAATATACAAGAGCAGCGACAACAACTAAACGAGCACAAACACCCAACACCAACACCAACTTTATCCAGAAACTTCTTGGCCTTATGATGCTCCCTCTTGTAGAAACTAAGAACTCCCTGCATCAAGTGTAACTTCATCATCACTGCCACCTCCTGACTACAGCTGCCCTGCGACATTTTTCACACTTTATACATACTGTTTATACATATCGCGCCAGTCAAGACAGACAGACAAACAAACAAACGAACGAACGAACGAACGAATGCAAACAAACAAACAAACACAAACTAACCCTAACTCTTTGAACCCTCTCCATTTCAGGGCCGTAACTTTTGACGAGCCTCTCCTCCGTGATTAACAGGCGTCTCTCTGTCGGAGAGCATTGTTGAGAAGTTAAAGGTCAATGTCGGGTGGCGTTGTTGAAAAGTTAAAGGTCATTATCGGGTGGCATTATTGAAAGGTTAAAGGTCAATGTCGGGTGAAATTATTAAATGGCTAAAGGTCAATGTTTTCACCATCATCATCACCATCATCATCAACATCATCATAAGCATCATCAATGCCACAACCACCACCGACAACACCACCACCACCACCGCCGACCAGCGTCCGGCAGGGAGTCGACTTGCTGCATGATGAAGTAGCACCAGATGATGTCGAGGCAGAGGAGGGCGTAGTTGTCCACCAGCTCCAACAACTGAGAAGTGCATTTCCTGCCACAACAACAACAACAACAACAATTTTTATTTTTTCAGTCTAGTTAAGTGGTTCTTTATTGTTAAGTTTTGTCAATAAATAATAATAACTATAAAAAAATAAAAAATAACTATAAATAAATAAAAAAAAACAATAAATAAATAAAAAATAATAATAAAAATAAAAAGAATAATAACTATAATAATATGAAAATAATATCAAAAGCATAATCAACTAACGAGAATTCTAGATCGGCCTCCAGCAGATAGACAAGAGCCAGACCGAAATTCTTCTTCTTCATACATGTCTTACCCTTTTCGTGTAGCATCATCGCCACTGCCAGAGCCTGTGTTTTTAAGGGCCAGGGTAGTTTCAAGTAAGAAGTATCATAAAAGTATAATTTGAGTAAAATCAAAAGTACAAGGGGGTATTTTGAAGGGAATAAAGAGTGGCCGAGAGGTGGTGGAACGCATTTAGATATATCTTGATGAATATATGATAATATATCCTGTATATCATATATGATGATATATCTTGGTATGATGATATATCTTGAAGTTATAGAGTGATGGTTTATTGGTAAAAGTAATTGTTATTATTACTATAATTATTATTCATTATTATTATTTATTATTATTATTCATTATTATTATTCATTATTATAATTCATTAATATTATTCATTATTATTATTATTATTAATACCTTCCTTTCTTCGACAGGCATATCAAAGGACTTTCCATTTTGGTCAGCTACGGTGAGATTGTACCAGTCGTCAACATCTTCGAGTGAGTGCATCAATTTCATAATAAATTATGTTAATTAGATGGTTAAAACGTGATACTAGTATCACGTCATAGTAATATAATATAATATTATAATGTAATAATATATCAATCAGTCAATCTTCGTTTAGCATCCAGAGACCCAGTTACCCGAGGTAGGACGTAATGTGATAATATAACATGACGACGATAATGATAGCACATTTATGAAGTAATGAAGCCAGTCGAACTCGACAACTTCGAACAGTGATATAGATGAGGATCACCATTTCAATCGTATGATAATGGCGTGATAGCGATGGTTATATAATGGATGATGGTGATGAAAATGATAATGATGGTGAAGATATAATGATAGGATAATGATTATGACGACGGAATGGTATAGTAATAATAATGATGATGACGAAATAGTGACGTAGCGATGACGTCACTCACCGTCATTAATCATCATTTCGGTAGCCTTTTTTGTTTTCTCGATTTTCTCGTCCTGTTCTGGGTCTACCTTCTCATCCTTCGCCATCAACTTCTCTTCGTCGTCGGACAGGCAAATGGCCAGTATCTTGCCTAAATTCTTAAAGAAAAAATATTTAATTATAAAAAAACAATAATAATATTATTACTGTTATGTTATTATAATTATAAACAATATTATTATTATCATTATTGTGTTATTATAAGTGGTAATGGTGATGAAGATGATGACGATAACAGTTTAAGAAAGCAAACTGAAAAACTCAATCGAATGAATGAATGAACGAATAAAAAAAAACTTTAATATAGCGTAGATTGAAACTTCTAAAAAACATAGAAGGAGCAAGAAATGGACAAAGTCAAAACCATAATTTTACATAACTTTAAACGGATCAAGGGAACATTGAACTAAAATTAAAATAAATATACAGAAAATGCACCCTTCTATCAAAACTTCATGAGACATGAAAAACGAATGAATGAATGAAACGAATGAATGAAATAAACGAATGAATGAAACGAATGAATGAAAACAAACCTTGACGTTGTAATCATTGAGTGTCCAGTTTTCTGAAAGGCACTTGCCAAGTGAGATGAGTTTCAGCTTTTCAGGAGCGACCTTGAAAAGGTTACCAATGATTTCTTTGACCTCATTGACTGGCGTATGTAAGGAGGTCTCTATGTAATTTTCTTGTGATCTGCCCGAAGAATTGGGCTGTAGGTAGCGGAAAGGTTGAAAAGGATTATTCAGTTTTATACTGGTTAATAAAGTTTTAAAAATTGTTAAATTATTTGAAAATAGTTTGAAAAAATTAAAATCTCGATCATATTGACGATAATTTGATTATTTAATTTGATTATTGATATCCCATTTGATTATTTAAACTGATGATGTCACAATCCACATAAAGCAAAAATATATAATCATTCATCTTATTGATTATCATCTCTTTACCTATATAATCATTCTATATAGTTCCCAAAATGAAAAGTTTTATCTCGCTTTAAATTAGTTTTATTTAGCTATTACTTAGCTCTATTTAGCTGTTACTTAGCTCTATTTAGCTGTTACTTAGCTCTATTTAGCTGTTACTTAGCTCTATTTAGCTGTTACTCATCTTCATTCAAATTGTATTAGCTCTAATAAATTTCAATCAAATTTATTGAACAAACTCAGGAGTAATTTTTCAAGCAGTTTAATAATAATAATTTTAACAACTTTTTAAACTAATTACAAAAATAAATGAATAACCACACTCGTACCGAAGTGTTGGAACCCTGGCTGAATCTGACGTAGATGGTAGCAACGTCAGTCTCCTGGTACTTCCTCTTGGCAGTGAACTTCAAAGTTGAATGTCGCCTCAACTGTTCCAGTGTCTCTTCCACCAGAGTTTCTGAAACTTTCAGGGTTTCTGAGTACTTTTTTATCAGCTCCTTCAAAAAAAATTGGTAAAAAACATTAAATACTAACTATATTATTAGTAAATAATGATATTATAATTATCAATCTATTATATTGTACTATAATCAAATATTATTTATTTGTTTAAAAGTGAAAAACAAATTTATTAATTTTGGAAGTGAACAAATTCAATCAAATTTTTTTTAACTATTCAGTTTTTTATAAATAATTTAGGAAGTTTGGAACCTTTAAAACTTAACCTTTTAACTCAAAGTTTCAAAAGTTAATAAACAACTTCTAAACAAGACACCATGCTGTGCAATGTATGTGACTGATGTTGTGTTTAATTTTTTCAATTTAATAATGTATGTTTTATCATGTAGTAGTTAATTACAAATTTGATGATGTCATGTCCCATGTAAAGTAAACTACGCCACAAAAAATTTAATAATTAAATTTTAATTAAAATTAAAAAGCAGCAACATTCGAATTCAACATCACCGCCGAAACGATTGTATCAAATTGTGGGTACAAATAAAAAAATCTTACGGAGGGCCTTGCACTTTTCGATCCATCAGCAGTCGAATATGGCTCCAACCACAACTTCACTTTGTCGGAATTCAGCAGACTTCTGATTGTCTCCTTCAAACCCTCTTCATCCAAGTGATTAACACTCGTCTCCATCGTCACAAATCGACAGTAAGGATAGAGATTTTTACCAAAAATTTCACCGTAAATTAGGAAATATAAATTTGTCGAGTCAGTGCTAATTAAAAAAGTTATTAAAACCAATGGAATCAAACAGCTGTATTTATAAACATTGCATAACCCCCATAGACCACTTAATTTATTTTTCTTTGCTGTATAATTTGATCATATATATATATATATATATATATATATATATATATATATATATATATATTTCGGAACGAGGTTTTCTTTAATGCAAACATTATTGAAGATATATGCCCATTTTGCATTAATGACTTTCTTTAATGAACACTCAACAAGTCTGAATTTATTAAACTCGTATTTACTTAAAACAATAGACATGGTAAGGCTAACAACGCTGTTTCGAAAAGTCCATATATATATATATATATATATATATATATATATATATATATATATATATATATATATAAAATATATATCAATAACAAATAATGTATATTGTTAAATTGTTAAATAATTTATACATAAAAAAATAAATAACGATAAAAGTAGATTTATTTTATAAATATTATTATAAATTGTTGTTAAATAATTAATTTTGAATGTTTTGTATATAATTGTGAACCGTTTATGTATAGTATTCGGTCGATTCAGGTAACTATATTTCAAAAATGTCAGAATTCCCTTTAACAAATTGTTCATTTTCTAGCTCAGGAGATTGAGAGCTACGTGAATCTAGTAAAAAAACTACCAGCTTAATTTAATACATCAGCGCCACAATCAAAACATACCTAATTATAGTGCCTTTTCAGTAATATTGTTATAACCAGTGGAACGGTCAAATTGCGCTATGTAATTAACTTCAAATGATTGTTATTATCTTTGTTATCTTTGCTATATTTGCGTTTTTTTTAACTGTAGGTCTTTTAATTGTAAAACTATGCGAAGCGCAGGTAGCGAGATTCGAGTTGTTGGATTACCGAGTTGAGCTGTGAATTATTGGCGATCGTGCGACATCTGGCGCATTTCGTGATTTGCGAATAATTCATTGGTTCTAATACTGTTGGCATTCGAGTAGACGTCTATATAAGTTTTTGTTTGTTTGAAGTAGTTGTGTTTATCTCAGAAATCTTGAACCTACGGATGATCGAATAACTTGACGATTGCGCGAGTTGCAACAATACATAATGATAACTATTCTGTCGATTCGGGTTACTATATTTTTAAAATGTCGGAATTTCCATTACTAAATTATAAATTTTCATGCTCAAGAAATAGAGTTTTAATCTAGTAAAAAAAACTACCAGCATATTTCACCGTATCAGCGCCACATTCCAAAAAGTGATCAAACTATAGTGGCTGTAAGTAAAGAAAGAAATCGTGTTAATCATTTGGTCAATTCAAGTTACTATATTTCAAAAATATCGGGATTTCCATTACCAAATTATATATTTTCATGTTCGGGAGATTGGGTTCAACACGAATTTACTATGAAACTTATTGTAACTCGGTTTACCATGGTTTTCCTGGTTCTCTACGGTCTATTTTAAATCGGCTGCTCGTCTAGTTGCTCGTGTCCCTATCTTTTATCATATATCATCATATATCTTGTTCTCTTACACTTTTTTAAAATTTGCTCATTAATGTACATGCCTCAATCTAAATTACTTCCCAAGTAGTCATCAGATATATTAATTAAACCTAAACGCCCCGGTTTACGATCATCTTCTCGTTCTCACTTCTTCTCAACTCGTGTTAAATACTCTTATGCTAAATCTGCATTTTCTTTTTTTGGCCCTTACTTTTGAAATTGTCTACCTCTTTTTTAATACTTCTCCATGGCTTATGAAGTTCAGAGCGGATCTCAAGACCCATCTGTTTGTGAAATACGTTGAGAAGCGCTGTTGAACATCACAGAAATGGCGCCTTATAAACTGATTAATTTTGATTCATTGAAAAGATTGTTACATATTGCATGAAAAAATGGCCAATTGACCGATTGGAATCTATCTTGATTAGTTTACTCACGTTATTTGTAATTAGCAGATACCAGGTGCTGGTGCACGATTGAATTTTGAGAAGATCAAAGAAATACTCTTTCCAAATGAGAAAAGATTTCATGTTGAAGCACAAGGTTTTTTATTTAAAGGAGTTCCTTTTTTTATTTTGACGAGTTTTAATTTATAAATTTAGGGTTTGGCGTCGAAAAACTAAAGATATTACGTTTAGTTTAGACGAGTATTAGCTTCGCTTTATTCCCAGATTATCACATCTGTCAGTCCGTCCAAATTTTCGTGCACACTCCCAAATCCTTCTTTATCTCTGGCCAGCCGCAGTCTACCTCGTCATGTTATCCACCCATTTCTCTGCAACTTTTAAAATTTCTCTCTTTCTATTTTTCTTTTTTATCATTACAAATTTAATCAATTTATAATTTTATTCAAGTAAACGAACAAAACAATCATTGTACTTGCATTTATCAATGTAAAAAAACTTGAATGCCAGCTTTACATTTGCTCTTGAAGTTTTTACCCCTATATCCTTTAATAGGAATTTAGCCAAAGAAACTTAACGCGGTGAACTCTCATTCATCCAAATAAATATCACTTCAAGACGAATCAGGCGATTCTGATCTTCAAATTTTTTTTTACAATTTCAGATGAAAATATTTTAGAAAATAAATTGTAAACAGTTTTTAACAAAAAAAAAATTTAAAACAAATGAAAAATGGTATAAAAATGTTTAACTGTTTTTCCGTTACAATTTGAAAATTTTGAATAACAAAAAATAAAAACTCAAAATAACGCAACAACAATGATATTAAATAATAATGCTTATAATAAACAATAGCAAACGAAAGCTGCAGCAGCGGTAGCAGCAGCTTCGACATCGGCCACATTTTTTAATACTCCAGCGTGATGGTTTTCGTGACGAGATATTCGTTGAGGGCTTCTTGACCTATAATCATTTAATTTCCATTTAATGATTGTCCATCTTTCTATCTTATCATTCATTCATTTATTTATTCATTCCCCCACTCATTCACTCACAAAATCATTAATTTAATAAACTAACAAATTATCGCTCATTCAGAAGGACCAACCGATTGACAACCAAAAAATCCGACAGAGAACCATAAAAACCGACTGAATACCAAAAAACCGACCGACTACCCAAAAAACCGACCGAATACCCAAAAAACCGACCTAAATCCTTTCCGAAGCCTGACTGCTTGAAGCCACCGAACGGCGCGGCCACATCGGTTTTGTTGTAGGTGTTGATGAAGACGGTGCCAGCGTGCAGACCGTCTGCCAGTCGCATCGCCTTGCTCACGTCGTTCGTGAAGACGCCAGAAGCCAGGCCGTACTCGGTGGCGTTAGCTCTCCGAAGCACGTTGTCGTAATCGCTGTGTGGTATCATGTAAATCAATCAACACACACACACACACGTATATACAAAGACTAACACACATCATAATAGTGGTTTGTTGTGTTGTGTGTTGTTTGTGTGGTGTGTTGTTTGTGTGGTGTGTTGTTTGTTGGATGGTTTTGTTGTTGTGTTGATTGTTAGGTGGTTGTTGTGTTGTGTGTTGATTGTTCGTGTGATAAATTGTTGACTGCTGACTGAAAATGTTGAATGTTTTTAGTAACTAGAGTCAGCCAAAACACCAAAATAAGTCGATGAATGAATGAATGAATGCATGAATGAATGCATGAATGAATGAATGAATGAATGGACAAATGAATGAATCAATTATTCAATCAACCAAGCAATGAAACAAATCACCAAAATTTGTCAACCAACCAACCGACCCGTTATTGAACTTGGAAATGATCATGATTGGTCCGAACGACTCCTCCTTCGCTATGGTCATCCAATCATCGACGTCCGTGAAGATCGTCGGGTACATGAAATAACCTATCAAATCGGTGATTCTCATTTATTTTTAGCTTTTATTTATTTTTTTAATGAATTAATTATTTTATTGTATACCATGATAACTTATAAAATTTGTTACAAAATTTAAAAGGTCGTATTATTATTTTAATAATATATGAAAATAATTCATAAATTTTTTTACAAAAAATACCCCAAAATTTCCCAAATCAATTATAAATAGACCAAATGTTATTAGCATAGAAAAAATAAATTCCAGGACAAAAAAGAAAAAAAAATTTGGAAAAATCTGTCTCAACATAATTACATCATTTTTTTATCCCAACATAAAAACGCTTTTACAACTAATTAACTTCTATATTACAATTATCTCTATGGTGTGTATCGGAGAACACGAGCGCACACACACAAACATACATACACGAACACACACACGCACAGTGTACGTAAACACACGTGTGAATTAACTCATCATCCCATACACACATCGCATGTGTAATAGACAGGTGTCTATTACAACCAAAATCATTACACCATATGAAAAAATACCCCCTTAAACCTTTCCTGTCAACTCTTTTGCCACCATAAACCAGCGTGGCCCCCTCCTCCACACCTTTGGCGCAGTAGGACAGCAATGAATCGAAATGAGCCCTGTGGTGATTTAATTATTTAATTAATAGTGGTAGCGGCAGTAGTTGCGTCAATAGCCACAGCGAAAGTGTTATTAATAGCAGTAGAAGTAGTACTAGTAGTAGTAGTTATAGTAGTAGTGGTATTATAGTAGTAAGAGTAGTAGTAGTAGTAGTATAGTAGTAGTAGTAGTATAGTAGTAGTAGTAGTAGTAGTAGTAGTAGTAATAGTAGTAGTAGTAGTAGTAGTAGTAGTAGTAGTAGTAGTAGTAGTAGTAGTATAGTAGTAGTATAGTAGTAGTAGTATAGTAGTAGTAGTAGTATAGTAGTAGTAGTAGTAGTAGTAGTAGTAGTAGTATAGTAGTAGTTGTAGTTGTAGTAGTAGTAGTATAGTAGTAGTAGTAGTAGTAGTAGTATAGTAGTAGTAGTAGTGTAGTAGTAGTTGTAGTAGTAGTAGTAATATTAGTAGTAGTAGCAGCAGAAGCAGTGGTAGTAGTAATAGTAATATTAATAACAATAATACTTGTGATTTTGTGGTCCGTGGTCTGTGGATGTGTCTAGCGGGTCGCCAATGTTCATCTTCTTGACCTCTTCGACCTACAAGCAAGGTCAGGTGAGTTGAGTAGTTGATTATTAATTTAATTAATTAATTAATTAATTGATGTAAATGAATAAAAATATGAGTAAGTGGAGAAAAGGGTGTATCGTTAGGTTATTATTTTAATTAGTAAGTTCCAAAACAAGTTAATTAAATAATAAGTTTTTGTGTGTTAATTTGAAGGCAACCAACTAACCAGTCAAACGACCAACCAGCCCACCAACCAACTGATCCACTAACCAACCAACCGACCCACTAACAAACCAACCCACCGACCAACCAAACAACCCACTAACCAACAAACCAGCCCACCGACCAACAAACCAACCAACCAAAGAACAACCCACTAACCAGCCCACCGACCAACAAACCAACCAACCAACGAACAACCCACTAACCAATCAACCAGCCCATCAACCAAACAACCCACTAACCAACCAACCAACTCACCAACCAACAACCCACCGACCGACCCACCACTTTAGATAGGAAGGCATCGTACACAGCCTCCTCAACGAACAGGCGACCAGCCGCTATGCAGTTCTCGCCTTTGTTGAAGAAGACTGAACTGCAGCCCTGTGGGGTGGGGTGGGTGGAGCTGAGTAGAGGGTAACGATGTATGACGTCACGTGTTATTATAAACCATAATCAGTGGACGAATGAGTGAAGGAATGAAAATGAGGGAAATGATAAATTACTAACAAGTCTGACGGCCTTCTCTAGGTCACAGTCGTTGCAGATGATGAGTGGGGATTTCCCGCCTAATTCAAGCGACACTTTCTTCAAGTTGCTCTTTGCACAGCTGATCAATCCATCAATCATTCATTCATTCATTCATTTCATCATTCATTCCATCATTCATTCAAGTTATGATACTTTTATATTTGATTTGTTCGTTCGTTCATTCATCTGATCGTTCGATCATTTGCAAAGTTAATTCAACCAATGTTCACTCATTCATTTATTCACACATTCATTTATTCACACATTCATTCATGCATTCATTCATTCATTCACTTATTTATTAATATATTTATAGGTTCATTCATTCTCATTCATTCATTCATTAAATCAATTATTCGTCGTTACATTCGACCTCTCCATAATTAGTTTTCCAACAGGCGTAGAACCAGTGAATGCAATTTTTCTGACCAGTGGATGGTTGGACAGTGCTTGACCAACTACCGGCCCTATAAATGAATGAATGAATGAATGAATGAAGGTAGGGATGAAAAATGAATGAATGAACTAACAAATGTATGAACGGATTGATGAATAATACGAATTAATTAACGAATGAATGATTATACAAATGAATGAATGAATGATTATACAAATGAATGAGTGATCGATCGAACAAAGGAATCAATCAATCAACCAGATCCATTTAGAATGTTGATGACTCCACGCGGGAAACCAGCCTTCACTACAAGTTCGCCAAACTTC